TTCAGCAACAGCAGCTGAATGATGAAGTAGCAGACCTGGGCCTCGTTACCTTCATGGCTTCTCATGGCCTGGAGAAGAAGAACACAAAGCTGACGTCGTATTCTGTGCAGTAATTCACCTTCTCCGGACTGGCGGGAGGATAATGTACTGTATGTGAAGGTGAAAGTGGCTCCTGGAATTGTAAACATATAAATCAGGTATGTGCACATGTAAAATCCACTATGCAGAATTATACAATGACAATATAGATGTAGAAATAGATTTCTAGTATTGGTTACATATTGTTGTGGGCTATCACTGAGCGATATCTGCAATACTGAGAAATACAGCACATAGAAGTGAGGTCAGTGTACTGGACAAGGGATGCAGTAACAATCACTTGGAGCTTAACACTAGTAAGACTAAAAAGTCGCTGGTGGTCTTTCATAGGGGAGGAGGTGATCTGCTGCCAAATGTCATTAATGGTGAGCCTGTGGTTAAACGGGACTCCTTCAAGTTTCATGTCTCTGCCATCTGACACTCTGTGAAGTGGGACGTTAACACCAGCCTCATCATGAGGGAGCCCCATCGAATGCTGTGCTCCCAACAACAGCTGAAGACATTCAGGTCCAACCGAGAGCTAAGAAGGTGTCCAGAGACCCCTTTCTTCCCGCCAGCTCCCCCTTTAGACTTCTCCCTTTGGGGAGCATCAGACATGGTCCTGCCTGTTTCCTAAATAGCACCTGTCTAGAGGCTACAAGGCACCTAAACATGGAGATCTTGAATGCTGCAACTATCACATGGGAGTGAACATAAATGTAAGTGGAACAGACCTTCGATCGACAGAATAATATGTAATGTGTTTGTGTAAGTCTCATTTGTGTTCTGTTTTGTTTCCTGCACTGGGGAAAACTCTAATTCCAATTTTGTTGACATGGCAATAAAGAAATGAATTAAAAATGTGTTAAATGCTTAAACGTTTTGTCACAGGTATGTCTTACATTTACCATAGCGGTTGTTTTGATATTCTTAACACAGTTGATCTCTCAAGAATATTAAAAGTACTAAGATATGTTTTTAAAATGTCACTAACTCAATTACTAGTTGTTCTGAGCTGGTTAGGATTCCCAAGAATCTTCATGTAAGCTAGTTAAATTAATCTGAGAGAACATTTCTGCTCTGTCCTTGTTTCTGTTGTCTGGAACATGTGTACCAGCTGTGCTCTTTCGCCCTTCTCCAGAAACGCACAAGATTACAGAAACCAAAGACAGCCAACACTGGCTGCCCATTAAGCGTCATATCCTCTCCCACATGAACCCTCAGACATGATCGTCTCTCTGATTAGCTGGCACAGATGCACACGCTTAAAAAGGCAAGCAAGTGAAAAACGAGCCTTTTCCTGAACATGTTTGTAATGTGGTAGCCAGTGATCAAACACTTTAATAGAACTCATGCATGTATTGGGGTTGGCATAACACCTTTCAGCATGAATGAAAAACAAAATGATGTAGAATTGCTCACCAAACACAAAATGAGCCGGTCTAAAGTGACGATGTTGTACTTCCACACCATGTCGTTGAGGATCTCGATA